CTGAGGAATAAAATTACAATAGCTTTTATCTATTTTTTTCAATACATGTTTAGCTATAGGTTCTTGTATTCCTCTTTATGCTACTGAGACTCATTATTATTTGTATTAATTTGTTTGTGCTTTATTATTTGTATTAATTTGTTTGTGCTTCTCTCATAACATGAGGGTATTAGGGAGCCTGACAGAAAGAGTGCAAGCTCATTGATTTTCTAATTCATTTGAAGTACATAAGTGGCTATTGATATTGTTAAGCGCACAAATATAAGTATTAAGTGTCGTTAAAAGTTTACTAAGTGTTTGGATTCTTTTTATGTTAAATTGTTTTGATTCACACTTTTGCTTGTTCAAGTAAAATTCAACACATTTTTTGTGTGGTAATCTTGATGTACACGACTTAACAATTCCTACTATTTACAATACCATGTAATTTTTAGAAATATTACAGGCTCATATTCTCCACTAGATGTATGCAAAATTTGTTACGTTAATGTGGCGGAATAAACTATATATTGTCTATATCATACTCATGAGTCATGACCCTAATGTGTCAAAATTATTAAGCATTTTGTTCAATTGCGCAACGTGAGTCCAAAATTGACTTTTTTTCTAACCAACATCCTGCAATAGTCCCAATAGATGTGTTATATAGAAATAGCTAAACCACAATATAATAAATTTATTTGTATTGGAAAAATCAAAAACTAATGTACAAACCATACATGAAGAGATCAACACTGATCATATTATACCTTCTTCAAGACATTCTGTTTTATCTCACGTTTTAGCCATTCTTTCCACTTGTTGACTTGGATTGCATTATAATCTAAATTTTCAAGTAGTGAGGAGATTGAATTGAGAAGAAAAATTGTATCTTCCCTTTGAATTTGAGCTTGATCTCCTTTTCACACCGGTGTGCACGAGGCTATTAATGATAGTGTATATATATAACAATTAATGGTATTTAAAATTGCTTTTAGGTGTTTTTAGATATGCATATTTGGACCGTGGCTTAAATAACCTCATTATATGCAATTAAAATAGTCACATTATTTTTGGTAAAAAAAATGTCCAGAGATATATTTGCGTAATTTTCTAGAATGAATTCAGGTATATATCTTCGAAAGCAACCTTAAATTCATTTATTATGAGTTTTTTATTAAGCTGACTTACGGATGTGCATATCTCTAAACATTCTGAAGTGAATTCGGATATGCATATCCGAAAAAGACACATCAGGGCACTTTACGGATGTGCATATCCATAAACACTCTTTTTTAGTAAAAAAACTAAAGTGTATCTGGAGATGCATCTTTGAAAAGTTTTCTGATGATAGGATAAGGGTTCTAAAGTCCAGAGTGATCCAAGACTAAATAGGGTGTCTCTCATCCCATATCTTCTACAAAGCACTCCACAATCTGAAAATAAATACATATCTCCACTTTGTATTTGTGTATTTCAATGGTGCAAAATCAATTTATGATCACCGAGGACATACGTCTCGCTGAATACATGATAACACTTTATACTACAAAGACACAATTTACATACGACCTATTACATATTTGAGGCAATCTATTTTGAAAGAATATCATGCAACACAATTACTGCGGTTCATTCAAGACTTCAAACATCACTAGCTCACATTTCTGCATCTTCCAGCTGGCTTGCCCGATATAAGGACGTCAAAGCATTCATTCAATGCTGCACATTCTGTCAAAAAAAGAAATAAGGATTACTACAACCTTTTGAAATTTCAACACAAGTATGGGAAGAGTCATAAATGGATTTCATAATTCACTTACCAGTAAAAAATATATGAATTCATAAATTTTCCAGATGTTGTTTTTGGGTCAAAGTCTGCTCACTCATTTGAATAAAAGGAATAATATCGCTGCAGTAGAACATGAGCAATGGAAGAAAATTGGTGCCTAACGCAACAAGGTGGACATATAGTGCTTGAACCTCAACAACATGTTCACCAACGCTTTTTCCCAACTACCACAAACACCTTCATGTACTTCCATTAACACCAACCTTGGTTGGTTCTCTCCTAGACACCTTTGAATGTTTCCTTACCTCTTGTTTTTCAATCCAGCGATAGTAATTTCAGTTTCGATGCTTTTATTTAATGTCGAGGTGGTTAAATTTCGGTGAGATGTAAAATCATTCATTAAATAAACAGTAGAAATATGTCTTTTACATATCTTTTATGTCATTTTCTTGAACCAAGACATCACATTCTTTATCTTTTCATACTTCACTTGATCCAAATCTCGTCTTTCTTTCTCTTCCTTTAACGAACCTATATATAAATTTCCCTCCCTTATTGATTCCTAAAGATTAGTATAACATGTCAAATTTTTGGGTTCTTTCTTCAATCACCGCCTCCTTGGTCTCTTTCTTAACTTTCTTATAGTTTTCCAAAGTTTTGTTATTTTTACACATAAGACCATTTTTTAAAACATTTAACTTTTACTCCAACTTTATTCTGAATACTTTCATTCCACTACCACATTTCTTTATCCCTAGGTCCAAAACATCTCGATTCTCCCAACGTCTCTTTAGATATTTTTCTAATCTCTTATGTCATATTGTTCCATATATCATTCACACTTCCTCGTGTCTTTTCAAATTCTTCCTTCAAGATACTGTGTTGAAAATTCTCTTATTTTCACCCTTCAAATGCCACCACTTGATCAATGTAGCTCCCTTGTGACTTCTTATTTTCGTTCTCCTCTCGACTCTTACATCCATAATCAATACTCTATGTTGGATAGTCAAACTCTCTCAAAGTATAACTTTAAATTCCAAACAAATCTTCTCATCTGGCTTCCTAATGAGAAACAAATCTATCTGGAAACATGTCCCCTCCACTCTTATATGTTATAAGATGTTCACCCCCTTTTTCTAAGATATGTATTAGTTATAGTAAGATCAAAAGTTGACGAAAAATCCATGATAGATTTACCCTCCAAAGTTATCTCCCTAAAACCATACCCAAATGTATGTCCATAAAACCTCTCCCTAAAACCATACCCAAATGTATGTCCATAAAACCTCTTTCTTAGCTCCCTATTTAGATCCTCTTAGAAAAATCTTTTTTTCTTGAGGTATATTATGAAATAAGCCTTCTAAATCATCCCAAGATTTTACTTTAAGGTGTTATGGTAACTCAACTTTTGAGGTGCGTAAGAACTAATAACATTAAAAATGCCTTACTCCACTACAAATTTTAGGGTTATGATATGATCTCCTACTCTTTTTACATCAACAATATCCTTCTTTCACTCCTTGTTTACTATAACCTCTGTCCTATTTTTTGATCTAATTTTGTCGATGTACTAAAGTTTAAATCTCTACCTATCTAATTCTTTCTCCTTTTTATCTCTCCACTTAGTTTCTTGTAGGCGCATGAAGTTGATCTTCCCACTAAACATAATATCTATTATTTTCATAGATTTTCAAATAAGCGTGTGTATATTCCATGTTCTAAAACGAATCAAAATTAGAGCAAAAAGTCCAAACATTCGTATGAGCCGCAATTGATAAATATCTATAAATTTTAATTCAACATCTCATCAGTATTTTTTAAACAAATAAGAGGATCAAAGTTAAATGACATTTAAATGAAGAGACAAATTTTATGAGTAGATAAAAGTAGAAAGAAGAAAATTATAAAATTAAGCGAAATAATCAATTTCTAAATAGATATTTCTATTTTTGAGGTTTAGCATTTTTATTAGTAAAAACAAAAATAAATCTAACTTTATTGTAATAATAATGTCCAATTTCACAGCAGTGTAATAGTAGTATATTCCAACAAATGAGACATTGAGAATGAATCAACCATTTCTTTTTGTATTTTCTCTATGTACTTAAACATTTAACTATCTCATTATTTTGACATAGTTTTCTTAGAGTTTGATTTTATTTAACCTTTCATATTTCCATGTGGCAATGTCATTTAGAAACATGTCAAAGAATACATCCACTGCCACTGGTTTATAAAACTAGTTTGGTGGGACCAGAAAGAGAAATGTGACGGTTGAACATAGTTAGCAATATATTATTTTAGCATCTTCAATCACAATATATATATATATAAAAAAACAATTTTTTTTAAAATATTTGTCTGAATTCTTTAACATCTGTCATATATCTTCCGAGTGTTGGACATGGATTTCAAAAACGACAGTAAAAAAACTATTTTTTTAAATATTTATTTGAGTTTTACAATATGTCATATCAGTGTCATTTAAACATATTAATCGCTGTGATACATCTATTTATAAAAATATAACATTTTTGTCGATTGTCAGAATTACCGCATACAAATTATTACTCGCGGTTATTCTGACAATGATATGCCACTGGATAGAAAACATGTAGAAGTGTATTATTTGTATATTCCAAATCAACATGGCCTGCAAATACAAAAAAACTAAAGAAAACAATGTCAACCGTCTTTGAAACATTCATATGTGTCAATTTTCTTTCACTCATTTGTCAAATGAAATCATCCTCATTCCTTTGTTGCCAGTTGTTGTTTTTTTCTTCACTCTTTTTTATGTTTCATCATAATCATTAACCAACCAACCCTTTTATTATATTATATATATCATGTTCTTTCACCAATCATCACCTCCATCATTCTTCATTTCTTTCAAAACCAAACCAAAAACTTCCCTTTTCCTTTCTGTCTTGGACATGTTTGTTGACAAAGTTTTATACTTCTTTTCTTGAAGCCAAAGCTTAAGGTATACTATCATTTCCTCTCTTTTACTAAAATTATTATCAGTGTCCTCGTATAAGTATTATGTCTGGTGTCTGTGTATCATATTGTCAAATGTTTGTTCTTCATATTAGTATTGTGTCTGGTGTCTGTGTATTATATTGTCAGATGTTTGTTCTTCGTATTAGTATTGTGTGTGGTGTCTGTGTATCATATTGTCGGATCTTTGCTTGCAGGAGGACTTAAAATTCAGAGGACATCAGTAAAAATGGCTTCATCTTTGCAGGAGCTTCTTGCAAAGGAAGGGTTCAAAGGAAGCAGCAAAAGAGTGCTAAAGTCAAGATCTTCTTTCCACCATGGTGCTTCAAGTGATCCACTTCATTCCTTGGAAGAAAGACTCTGCGTATCATCGAGCGAACGAATCAAAACACAGAAAACAAAGTCGAAAACAGCCTCAAGGTATCAAATCAACAATACAAATGATAGTAACAACACAAGAACAAGGGACAATAATAATAATGTTTTAAAAGGAAACAAGATGGTTCACGAACGGTTGAAGAACGATGAAACTGAGAAGAACGAGTCTCACGATTCATCAGAGAGTGATAGTGGATTCAAAGATGTTTATTCAAATCAAGTGTCTAATGCGAGAAGACGCAAAGACAAGAAGGAAAAAGTCGTCGAAAAGCCATTGAAGAGTTCATATATGTTGAGACAATCAAGTGGAAATAGAAAGATCTATGAAAATAACAATCAAGCTACGAATTCACAAGATCCTTCTAATCTTGCTATAGATGAAATTGCTGTGAAAGCACTAGTTTCAATTCTGAATGGATACATAGAAAGTTTTCTAAAGGACGAAGATTTTCGGTCCGCGTTACGCCACAATTGTTTCTCCTCCTTGAACTTCATTCATCTAGATAAAGAAGAAAACAACTCCGAGACCAAAGTGATTACGAGTCTCGAGCAAGCTATTGAGTGCGTAGAGAAAACGGCTGAAAAAGACGAATCCATATCTGCAATACATTTGAAAAGAGCAACAATGCAGCTTAGTATTATCACAGGTTTGAGTTTGAATGATCTCAAATACGATCTTACGTGCGGGATTGCGAATTTCAAGTTATCAGCCTGTGCTCATCTTTACCTCAGTATGGTATATTTGATGCAAAGAAAAAAGAAAGTTTCTGCGAAACATCTTTTGCAGGTCTTTTGCGATTCGCCTTTTCAGGCGCGGACGATATTGCTGCCTGAACTTTGGGAGCATATATTTTCGCCGCATCTTTCACATTTGAAGAAATGGTATATTAGTAAAGAAGGTGAAATTGTTGCAGATACACAAACCAAAGCGCGAAAGCTAAAGATTCTTCAAAAAGTTTATAGCGAAAATTTGGATTCAGGAACTCGAGTTTTCGCTTTATATTACAAAGATTGGCTCGGTGAAGGAGTCGAAACTCCAACTCTTCCTTGCATTGGAATTCCATCATTATCCGTTACGAGTAGACAGGTATTACTAAAATATCTCATCTATAACAAAATAACTAACTTAACTAACTATTAACCGAATTTGTCTGTCATGACAGGCAAGTTCGTTCGGTCATTCTTTTGAGTCTGGTAGCTCCAACGAACCATTCTCGCCACAGGCGATGGTAAGCAAGAAACTATATGATTCGTTCTTTGGCGGATATAGGAAACCTGAAGTTTATGAAGTTGAAGAAGATGATAAGGATGAAGATAGTTTTGAAAATTGTGAGAGAGGGTCTTATGGCTCAACCGTTGTTAAGAAAACGTTGATATACGAATCCGAAACTGTTAAGTTTATTGATCAAAGTAGTGAAGATTTCACTCCAAGTGTTCAAATTCATGAATTCAGAAAGATGCAGCCGAATAAGATAAGCTCTAATCTTGAAGGTAAGAAAAATATAGTTTTCTTCGGATAATGTATCGACTTTTTAGCAGATAGATAATGATTTTTACATGATTTTTAGTGTAGGATCGTATTTTCCAAGCATTCCGTCGGAATTTATTTGTCCTTTGACACGAAAGATCTTCGAGGAACCCGTCACGTTAGAATCAGGCCAAACCTTTGAAAGAAAAGCCATCAAGGCATGGTTTGAAAAGGGAAACCGAACTTGTCCGGTAACAGGAAATACTTTAGAATGCGTGTTCATGCCGTTTACCAACCTTATTTTGAAGCGTTTGATCGATAACTGGAAGACAGAAGATTTCGGCCGTCTTCTTGATTTCGCCTCTCAAAAAGTCGAAAACTCAGAAGAACTTGAGTTGAAAAAGCGCGACGAGACTATTGTTTTCAAGTTACAAAGTCTTTTCGCTTCCTTGAATGAAGAGGAAAAATCAACTTATGCTAAGCATATAATCTCTTTAGGAGTTTTTTCATTTCTTTTTAAGAGGTTTGAATTTGGAAACATCGAAGAAAAATCGCATGTGCTGGAGATTTTGTTAAACTGTATTCAAGCAGATTCTAGTTGCATATATAAGATCGCAAGAAGCGTCGACAGAAAAATTCTTCTCGAGCTTCTTCATAGCAAGATGGTTACTCCAACAACAAATGCAATGTTTTTCCTTACCGAACTTTTGTCGATGAAGAGGTGAGGCTTACCAAATTTCGGTTTTTTCTTCAAATAGGACATGCACTGTCAATGTAAATTACGTCCGATAAGATTGCACCATTTCACGGTTACTTTTTCGTTATGGTTTCAAAATGGACTTATGATGTAGTAACACGAGTTTTGTTTTCATTAGATAACAGTGTAAAACTATTATTCATCAATGACAATGTATATTAGCATTCAACACTTAACGTAGCGAAATTTGAACAAGCTGCTATTTTCACCGAATCCGCGATGGATAACACTATTTTTTTGGAATATTATTAACTAGACTAGTTATTTTGTAGGAGAAAAGATGTTACTTCTTTTCTAAGTGGCTTGGTGGGTGAAGATGTATATAGTACAATGCATATTGTGCTCATGTATCTCAAAAATTGTTCTCCAATTGAAAAGCCTCTCATTGCGGTTCTCTTATTACACTTTGATTTACTGGTAGGCACAATTGACCGAACTTCATTATCTGATATGCGTATTCAATGTTTGCGTTTTCTATCTTAGGTCACTTTTCAATCGAAACAAATTAAAAAGTGGATGAAATTCAATCTCTGACATGTTTGCGATGCAGGTTGAGCCTCAAAAGTTAGGCATATACATCGAGACAGCTGTGAATGCCATTGCCGAGGCACTTGATGCTAGCTTAAATGACGAGAAGATCCAACACAAGTGTTGCAAAGCTCTTTTAATCTTGTGTGGCCATTTTTCTTCGAACGGAAAGATAATAACCGATACAACCGTCTTAAAGCAAGCTGGTTATAAAAATGGTAGCTCGGAATTGAAATCTCCTAGCTATGATGAAGAGGATCAACAGTTAGATGCAACCATTTCATCGGTAAGTTTTCTTTATTAGTAGTTAGTACGAAATATCTTGTTTCTTGAAGAACAAGAAACAACTAAGAATCCTAACATTTGAAACACCGTTACTTCTGATTGAAAGCGTGCAACATGACTAACATGTGTCAGTGTCGTGTTTAGTATCTGTGCCAACAATTCATAGATACTGATGTATCATGAAATTGTTGCTTCTTGCAGGAAGATGAGGAAGAAGAAAGGAACGAAGAATTCATGATAAACTTGTTAGAATCATTGATTGGTGATGGAGAAAGTCCATTTTTAAAAACCATATCTAGATGTTTAGAATCTAGACATGTAGATTTGGTGAGGACTTCTCTAATAACTATCACATGGTTGAGTTCCTCACTTTCTAAACAATATAACGCCGGATTGCATCTTCCCGCGTTCTTAGCCGTAATCTCTCAACTGAAAGAAATCCTTCAAAACAGCGAGCTCGAGCTCAAAACTCTCGCATCTATGTCATTGTTTAACTTCAGTAAAATATCAGGTTCGACACCTTCATCGTTTATATGTTAGTTTGTGACACTTATAATGCGACCGATTGAATAAAAATTATGTTATGTTGTTTAATATTGTAGAATGCCGAACGCTTTTGAAGATTATGGCACAAGATATTGCGCCGATTCTTCATGGACTAGTTGATGTAATATGGACCGCGAAGAAACTGCATGCCATTTTGATGTAATATATCATTGGCTCTACATTTAGGAGTTTCGATTTCGATGAAATATAGAATTTTGGATAAAATAAATGTTTCAACATTGTACATTCTTGTTCTAATTTAGAAAGAAAAGTAAACAAATGTAAATTGATCTCATCGACGACCTTAAGTGTTTCAACATCTTAAGCTTCTCTCAATCAATCAAACTCGATTAATCGTCTCGTTATTCTCAAACTCTATTAGGCTTTCGATATTCTCAGTTTCGTCCTCCTGGCAGCCCTTGTACCACCGAGCACAGAACACGTAGAAGACAAGGTCGAGAGCAGTTAGCGCTGCGATGAGGAAGAAAAACCTGTCCATGTGTCCTACATTTAAGTTATTCGGTATCCATCCCGGTTCTCCGTCTCTTGCGGTGATCACCATCACCAACTTCACGATTATGCTACTAAAATAGTTTCCAAAAGAAATCGAAGCCATGCAAAGTGAACTCCCGAAGCTTTTTATACCGTCGGGGGCTTGTCCGTTGAAAAACTCCAATTGACCAACATACATGAAAACTTCAGAAGCACCAACAAGAACATATTGCGGAATTTGACAGAAGATACTCAAGGAACTAGCTTTCTCTCCGGGCATAACTCGTCTAAGCCGTTCGAACTCCGTTACACCTGCTGCAAACATCGCTAACATTCCGATGATTAGGCCAACTCCCATTCTTTGAAGCTCGGATAATCCCTTGGGATTACCGCTTAACTTTCCGGCCAAGGGAACAAGGATCTTGCAATAAAGGCCGGTGCATATAAGGACACTGCATATATCAAACACCGACATTGTAGCTGCTGGCAAATGAAACTTTCCTATCTTGTTGTTCATCACATCGCCTTGTTCAACGAAAAGAGACGCCATTTGTGTGAATACAACCGAGTAAATAATTGTGCAGAGCCAAACTGGCATCAGTCTCAACACGCATTTCGCTTCTTCAACTTGAGTTACCGTGCAAAGCCGCCATGGATTCTCTGATTCACTCCCTTCTTTCGTAAGGGTCGCCGCCTTGTCCATGAATCTGCTCAATTCAACACGCGATCACTTATCGTATAAGAGTTTAATGATCATACACCGACAATATACATTTAACTAGTTTTCAATTGCAATAACTTAAGTACCTGAACTCGTTGGTGTACTTGATCTTTCGGCTTCCTTTGATGGCGGATTCAACACCATCAACCTCGTAAAGTTGGCCGCCCTTGGCCGGTTGAACCTTCCATTTCCTCACGGTAGCGACGAATACCTGGATCACCCTTATGATAGGATTCCCACTAGCTTGAACATATCTATATCTTCGATGTCCCGCTAAGAACGAAATCAAGGCTAGAACAGCAGACGCTAACGAGACGCCAAAACCCATCGTCCACAAACCCGAATCCTCATAATAAACCAAAACAGTGTTGGAAAAGAGTGATCCAACATTGAGTGCAAAGTAAAAGTAACTAAAGAAAGCTTCTCTAGAGTTATTATTCTTAATAGTCTTATTGTCAAATTGATCGGCTCCGAACGTTGCCAAGGTAGGTTGATGCCCGCCGTATCCAAACGCAACCATATATATCGACAAATAGAATAGCCGTAGTCCCCACCAAGTCGGTTCCATGCACGTCGTATGCTCGTCGCCACATCCTTCTGGTTTGATCAAGAACAGCCACGACGTCAACGATAATAGCCCCAAACCCTGCATCAATTTATACACATATTTCTTCAATTTCCATACATGTATCTTGTTTCTTGTAGAACAAGAAACAGCTAAGAATCCTAACATTTGAAACACAGACACTATAGAAGCATACCAGAACAAAGAAGAGCTGAAAAATAGTGCAAGTTAAGTATCTGCCCCAATAGGAATCACTCAAAAATGCTCCCAAGAGTGAAAACATGTAAACAGTTCCGGTCCACATGCTAACCGCATTCGCAGCATCGGCGCTGTCTTGACGAAGAACTCTCGTTAAGAACAAAACCAAGTTCACTCCGACTCCAAAGAATGCTAATGTCGCCAATGCTTGATTCGCTGCAGTCATTCACTCAATTCAATTAGTCCCTCCTAGTCCTAGAGCCAGATACCGAGTTTTCATAAAAATTATAATAATGATTAGTTTAGAGAATACCTAGCAAGATATATGCAGTTTTCCATCCTCCTTTAATCTTCTTCACTTCAGCTACTTCGATATCGGAAGAATTGACAGCGTTTGGGGCGACCAATCCTGCGGGCTCCATCTACAAACACATACATACCACAAATTTTAAACAGTAAGTTACACAGTCAATTTAATTCATATACACTGACATAATAAAATATAGTCATAATCGAACCAACAGGTTTCATAGGAAAAAAAAAAAAAACCTTTTGCGAAATTTAGTGACAGATAGAGTGAATTGTTGAGAAATAGTGCCAGATTGCTCTGGTGAAGGAGAATCAATTAGAAAAGGCAATAGAATTTCAGAAAAACAACATAAACTTTTTGTCATTTATGGTTCACACTAGTTTCAATCTAAACAACAACACTTTTTCTTCTTGTTCTTGAGACAATATAAGAGAGATTGGTGCAGCTTTTGTTAATCTTCTTATATATATTCGTTACAGCTCTGATTTGAGTAAGAAACTTGTAACATGAGTTAAGTTAAATAGTAGTGTACTTAGCTATTAATTTGGATCTTAAGTAACTTAGTTATTCACTAAGTGTAACTAACTTTTGACTTTTTTTGTTGATCATAGTGATTATTATTGAATTGGTCATTATAATTGATCTTAATTCACGGTAGGTTAATTTGGACAAGTATTTTATTTTTTTGAAATTTTTACTTAATCTATATAGAAATTCAAACTTTTAGTTAATTTGTTATTAATATTTATGATTTATGATGTGGTGGCTAGTGCTTATCCATTTTTCCCAATTTTTATGGTGTGAGTCATGCTGATATTTAGGTATTTATGTTTAACAAGTTACGATGATGTCTCTATTCTTCCTTTTACTAATTATAGTAAAATCTATTTGAATGTTAATAACTCTTTTTTTGGCTTTTAGTGATAAAAAATTATTTAGTTGTTTTATCCATCTAATTCAATGTATTGTATTTTTTAGGGTAGATTTCTTATACGGTGATAAAAGTCAATTTTATTTAAAATTGGGTTATATATATATATATATATATATATATATATATATATATATATATATATATATATATATATATATATATATATATATATATATATATATATATATATATATATATATATATATATATATATATATATATATATATATATATATATATATATATATATATATATATATATATATATATATATATATATATATATATATATATATATATATATATATATATATATTATAATGAGGTAACTTTGTGTTTGTGTTTGTAAGATTATCTATGGTGTTTAAGGTATTTTGACGGCAGTTAGGATTAGCGCATGCTAAGTGGTAAAAAAAATTGTATGTGTACTTTTAGGGCAAATTGAAAATCCCTTCTCAATTATGTGGTTGATGTTTCCCTCATTATATTATTGGAAACATTGAGGAGTGGAAGACTCATTCTCCTTTAAATTGTGGTAAAAGGTCTTTCTTTGGCTCATCTTACTTGAACACCTAATAGTCCATGTTTTTCAAGAAAAATAGATAGTGTATATTCGATCGAGCGATCAGGCCAAATTAGAGATTCAGGCTCAATCAGCAAACCAAGTCTAGCATTCCTGCACTTAGATCATTTTTACCATGGACTATCTTTCATGGCTCGATAAAATTATCTTAATACATAGCCCCTCGAGCAAAAAGGCCTTGGAAAGGGCATAGTGATTTAATCTAAATAGAAGATAATTTATTTATAAGTGCGACATAGATAATCGACTCTCTCGGACAAGACTTTGATAGTTGAGTCCTAATGAAACTTTATCATTACGTAAAATTCATGAGTAATTTCGACGGAATTGGAAGAATATCGAATAAAATCCAATAAAAATGTTGAAGAGTGGAACCAAGTTACAAAAGTGTGAATAAAGTGAAAATAAGAAAACAAAGTTAATTCATTTCTGTTTTTCACTCGGATGCGATGTTGGCATCGTGAGCACGATGATGTCACATCACTGTAGCGATATACACTAACAAAAGTGTGATGAGGTGTTACTATGACATGTAGAATTGCTATAAATATGGCTTTTTAGCTACTTTTTAAGGAGTTCCGGATTTTTGATATAGAAAGTGATGGCTTGGAGTTCTAAAGTAAGGGTTTTGAGGGTTTTGGAAGCCATTGAAGAAATTTATTTTCCTTGAATTTCATGTACTCATCATATAAACTCATGGTAATTATTACATGCACTATGAGTAGTTAGATTAATTAGATTAGGTCTTTTAAGATATTAATTAGATTAGGTCTTTTAAGACAAACCTGCGTGTACTTCATTGGATCATATGGTTGCTTCAGATTAACTGAATCTTTTATGTTATTGTTATTATTTAATTGTTCTTGATTTTAATGTTATTTTGTGTATTGATGAATGCATAAATCGATATCAGATGAGTAAAAATTATTGACCGTAAGTCTATTGATCTGATCTAGGACATTCAACTATGAAATTAACTAGGAATATGCAATTAGAAGTTGTGCCTTTTGAATTAATGCACTTAAAACGCCTAGTTTAACTCTGAATTGACCTAAAAAAATTTAGGTAATTATTGTGTAAATTAGTGCGATGTACACCAAAGAATTGGGTGCAGTATTCAAATCACAATATTTCCTAATTCATATCATGAATGACCTCATAGAATTAGAATTCAATTCTTATTGTGTAATCAAATCATGTAATAGATTGACTCGAATTACATGATTTAAATCATGAATTGAATCAAACATGCATAAATCTTAATTTTTATCATTTTTATTCGAGTCATTCTCTCATTTGATTCAACTCATTGGTTTGGCTCTGACTCAAATCAATTTATTTGTTTTTCACCTATATAAGT